TGATCTCAGAGATGGGACTAAGTGGAGTAAAAACTGCAGCTACACCTCTGGAGACAAACAAAAGGTTCACAACGGTAGAATACAATAAAATAATGAAGACATAGAGTGATAAACCATCGACAGATGTATGTGCTTATCAGAGGCTAATGGGAAAGTTATTGTATGTGATAATAATAAAGCCTGACATTAGCTACACTGTTAAGACCTTAAGCCAATTCATGCAACGCACAAAGCTTTCACACTAGGAGGCTGCTATTAGAGTAGTGCGATACTTGAAGGGAGCACCAGGGTAGGCATTCTTTTGAGATCAGGACCAGCTCAAGAACTGACTTGTTGGTGTGACTCCGACTGGGCAGTGTGCCCTAATACTGGAAGGTCGGTAACTGGATATGTGATTAATTTGGAGACTCCTTGATATATTGGAAATCTAAAAAACAACAGACTGTCTCGAGGAGTTCTGCAAAAGCTGAATACAGGAGCATGGCGTCTAGTGTGGCAGAAATCACTTGGTTGTTGGGTCTATTTCAAGAGCTAGGAGTGCCAATTTTACAACCTGTGACAGTCCTCAGTGATAACAAGGTTGCCCTACAAATCGCAACAGATCCTATTTTTCATGAATGCACGAAACATATAGAGATCGATTGTCATTTTATTAGAGATAAGATTAAAGTTGTAATCATCAAAACTCAATTCGTGCGTACAAAGGATCAACAGGCTGATCTCTTAACTTAGGCTCTGAGTAGTCCTCAACATGTGTATTTGATGGTCAAGCTAGGAGTGTTCAACGTGTTACACCCTCCAGCTTGAGGGAGAGTATTGTCATATGTGAAGTTGACTGTGTATATATGGATGTCCAGCTCATATCCAGCTATACAAGAGTCAGTTGTAATTTACAGTTAGTTGGTTATTAGTACTGTTAATGCACATGTTAGTTTGTTAAGATGACATATGTATATAAATAAACAGATGCACAATAATAATAGTGATCATTTCCTTTCTCAAAAAATATTTTTCTTCTCTCTAGAAATTTCCGCCATTGTTACTAACTGTGAAGCAAGCTTCACACAACGTACTCTTTGGGAATCAAGAATTTTGCCTAGAAACCAAAGAAATGTTTTGTAGTGTTATGGCTGATCTCTTGCAGTTGCACAAATTTATACTTTAAAGATGCGAATATATGAAATTAATTCTGCGGCATCACGATTGGAAGAGAATTAGTGGCTTTCTCGTTTTGATGCAAGAAAAGCAAGTGATACAGCAAGTTGTTCCGGCTGTTTGCTTTGTTTTCTTATTTTTTTCTGGCTGTTGTTACTTTTTCATTTACCGTAATTTTTTTTTTGTCATAACTGTTATGTATTTTTTTGCTTTATTGAGCCAAGAGTCTTCCGAAAATAACCTCTCTATCTTCGTAAAATAAGGGTAAAGTCTGTATATATACTAACTTCCCCAAGCCTCACTTGTGAGAATACACTTGATATATTGTTGTAATAGCAAGTGCTACAGGGTATTTCCAGAGATTAATGAATGTACATGGCCCCGATTGTTTCCTTTGGAAACAACTTATATATATCTTGAGCTGAATTAAATTAACGAATTATGAGTAAGGTCATAATTTGGATCTCAGAATTATAACGAACTAACCTTTCTTTGCAAAAGAAAACCTCTCTAATAAAACTATTTTCTCTTGTCATAAAACTCTGTACCATTCCCACAACTTACACAGCTAGTCCTTGTAATCATTGGCATAGCCAAATGCATGATTAAAAATTGGTGGGTTTAAAATGAGTACGGTGTTATTATATCAATATATTTTATATATATACACACACATAATTCGAACCGAAGTAATTGTTTACCCGTAAAATACACATATAAATTTTCCAGGAAATTCGTGTCCTTTACAATGATAACCAAGCTCGCTATTTATAGATATGTATAGGGAAGGAGGTCCTAGGATCGTGCCCTCCTTTAATATCAATTATGAGGGTCATTGATGAAGATGTAACGGTAGACATAAATGCCAAATTCTCTATAACGGACCGTTGCTGTTAATTCTGCAAAATATTCCTTATTAAATGCTACCGGGCGCAAGGCATTTAACACACTTTTATGAATATCCCTTCCGGCGACAAACAAAATATCTGCGTTCGGTCTTTGGCCATCCTCATCATAGGTTTCACGTGTCCTTCCTTTAGATGACCACGTGCCATATCATATTTTGTATAGATTTTATCCTATACAGTAACCAATCCATAGAACTTATCCTGGATTTGCCTTTCGCAATATGCGCTTAAGGCATCCAACATCAACAGTTTCATTATCTTCGTTTATTTAAAAAAAAAACATATAGATTTTTTTTTTATAAAAAAAAACGACAGCGGGAATGAGAATTTAGAGTAATTTCATTAATTATACTCTCGAGACTTTCTTTTTCTAATTTTTATTGCAATTAATGATCTATGCATCTGGCTATAGTCACCTAATTTAAGTAGTTTCAGCTGCCATAAATAAAGGCGAAAAGCGCAAACTTGAACATATGAGAACCTGTTTGCAACAATGTTCTAATGAATTAATGATGTCTGTTCACCCCAACTTGGATAGAGAAATCATATATATATATATATATATATCATATAAGTTTATTTTTCTTTGTTAGTTTTTATGAGTTTCATGAAACTGTATACTCTGGTTTATTCGATATTGGAACTACTAATCAAGTGTTATATTTTTCATGAAGTACAATAATATCAAACAACCAACATCTAATGATTGTGCTGTATTTTATAACACTATTATATTTATACAATTTTGTGTTTAAATTCATAGATGAAAGGACTAACAATTTAGAATCAAATAAACAAAGGAGATAAAGGATATATGTACGTGTAATCATGATTTATATAATCAATTAATTATTTCATCAACTATCTCTATCACAAATAATTTCTACTTCTGTGTAGGTATACACCACGAAACTGACGATAATCTACTACCCATCCTAAAGAAGGCATATATTGATCAAAGTTTTATAACTTTTACAAAATATTTCTCTCATTCGACAATAACTTTTTGATATGTATGCGACTGTAAAATTAATGATGGAGATTACAGTTTTTTTTTCAAAAAAAAAAATTAAAATGTGAAATATTTGCAACCACAACCAACACTTGAATAATATATTGTTGCCATATAAATAGAAAAATTACGGTCAAATTAAGTACTTGATACATTATAGGAATTGCATAATTGAAGTCGTTCGAATGTTACTTTTGAAGTCCATTTGATAGCAATTTTTCAATATGATGTGCCTTGCAATGATAATAAATATCGGTGGAATAGGCTCACTATTTATCAATTTGAGAGCTTGTATTTGCTCTCTTCACCTTTTATGCAATTTATCACACAGTTATTATAATTTTTTTTAAATATTTATATTAATTAGCATAGGTCCGAGAACTAATATAAAAGATAAGTGTGACAAAAGAGTAAGAGAACGAAGATAACAACCAAAATCAAATTAAATAATCTTCTCTCTTTTCTTACTAATGCCGTAATGCGGTAGTTGATTATAATGGTACTGCGAGGAAAACTGTGATATATTTAGAGCTTCGCTCTAGGTCTAGAGTAGAGTTATACACCAAGATCACATTACTGATTGCTCTAATATTCGTATTTTCATAATGTTATAGTGCTGTTTATCATATTATATATATATATATATATATATATATATATATATATATATATATATATATATATTATATTCTTTATTAATAAAAAAAATCGACAATAATTAATAATACGGTTGGTAGAATTATCTAATAATTTCTGCGGGCTGTGGCCTGTGCATGCGCTATTCTAAATATTGAGGTTTGGTGTGCTAAAAGCGGGTAAATATATAATCTATAAAGAATTTTAAAGTACATTTATTAGTCTAAGAGACACATACATTATTACGGTGCGAACATCTACGACATGAATTAGCTGCATAACTGTGTAACTCTTGTATATCTCTTAATTTATACACTAATAGAGTAATTGATTTTAAAATTACCAGGGCATTTTAACTTGTTATAGCTAGTTATTTTATTTTATTTTCTTTAATGAGTTATTCAATCAATGTATACAATACACAAGTTAAACTCCTTTTAGTTTGGTTATGTCTCTTCTAGTATTCACATAATTACTATTAGGGGTGACAAACATGCGGGTCGGATATGAGCGGGGTCAAAACGTGTAAGTTAAAAAATGAATAATCCGACCCGACCCATATTTGAGACGGATGAAAAATGGGTTTATCCGGCGAATAATATGGATATCCATATTATCCATGACTTCTTAAATATGATCACTTATTAGAGAATTCCTAGTCTTCCAAACTTGAGTAACTCCAATTTGAGTCTTTACAAATGTAAAAATTAAACACATTAGTTATCCATTGGTTATACATTTGGTTAACCATTTTCTAAGTGGATAATATAGGTGGATAACTATTTTCTTTTAACTATTTTGCCACCTCTAATTACTACCAATGTTATTCTACAGTTGTCCAATTTAGAAATGTAATTCTTTTAAAAAGAAATTGCATATCGTTGGATCAACAAGAGAAGTTTTGATAAGTTGTCTTCAACAAGTAAAGCAAATTATATTAGTGGTCTAATTTCATGTAATCAGCATATGATTGAATATTATATGCTCACAATATTCTGTTTTTTTTTTTTAAAAAGAATGTTAAGAAAACGTACAGATCAAGTTGATCGACGCTTGAACAGCAAGGCAAAGGCAAGAATTTTGTTAAGGTGGCCTGCCTTGTAAAATAAGTATATTTCTTGCCAAATAAAATCAATTGCCCGACATAAATTTTTCTCTGCATATTAGGCTCTAGGCCAGTCTGCTATTAATGCATGACACGTGGAAGGGATCTTATTGTCGATATCACCAAAGTAAACGCCCTAAGTTTTTTCACCATAGTATTTACTTGGACTAGAAAAACCACTCTTCAGCTAGCTAGCTCTTTGTTTCACTTGTTTTTCTCGATATCAGTTGCTTCCCTTTTGGCAGATTCACGTTAATCAACTTGTCACATGCAACAAACTACGTTTAAGTTTCACTTTTACCAAGATTAGTTGGCTGTGTCTTTTACTATAAACCCAATCAAAACCCCCATTTCGCCCCACAAGGCACTTACCTTCGATCAGTTTTGAACAACTCTTTTTTTTTTACCCTGAGAGCTTCCTGTATGAGTTTTTATATGCCAATAATGGTATGCTATTCTTCTTCTCCGATCCTTATTCTTCTTGAAGATTAATTAGTCTTAATTNATATATATATTATATCTCGAACAAATGTCCTTAGCGAAATTTCTAACTTCGCACCGGTCTGGAGTTGGGGTTTTTGTTTTGAGTTAACTCTTATACAGTGAAACAACAACAACGACCCAGTGAAATCCCACTAGTGTGGTCTGGAAAGGGTAGTGTGTACGCAGACCTTACCCTTACCCCGAAGGAGAAGAAAGACTATTTTCGAAAGACCCTCGACTCAATAAGACAAAAAGAATTTTATGCTACTTAATTAATATTTAAAATTATTAAAATACATCGATAGTGTGAATTTTTTTATTTTCATTTTTTTAAAGCTTTATATGTTTGTTTGCTTTTATTTTTAACTAGAAAATTGTTGTATTGCAGTGTGTCACGGCAATGATGTTTGGGTCAGTAGCAAGAACGATGAGTGCATTGATGGTTCAGCCAGCTTCCACCTTAACAACATTGTTGTACTACAGTGATCTCCTCCCCAGCAACCTGAATTTGGACCGGTTGGTTCGTAGGGACTTAGTTGATGGTGGAAACTATATTTTTCATTTTCTCATCCACTTTTTGAGATGTTTTTGGTAGTCATTTTCATATAACTAATTTCATTTCTAGCCTTTTCTTTTTTCTGGTATGTCTTTCTCTTTGTTTTGAGACCTTCAGTTCGGTGTAAGATGATTGAAAATAAAATTATATCGTCTCTCGGAACTCTATACATATTGTTCTTGAATGGAAATTCTCCAATAGTGGAGTACTCCTCCTCTATAGTATTAATGGAAATTTCATGGTTCGAAGGACTCCTCTTGGAATTCTTTTTTACATAACTAAGAAACAAACATCTATTAAATTGTTGACTCTGCTTGTCCAAATGGGCAGAACTTTAAGTTTAATTAACAAGAATTGCTCCTCACTTGCCTCACGTGTAATACTTTTGAATTTTGACCTTAAAAGTTTGTCCATAGGGCAAGCGTGTTTCTAAAAATTAAGATCATCAATTTTCAAGGTTATCGGGTGTAATTGTTAAAATAGTACGATATAGCTAGTTTTCGGATTGATCATTCAAAAATAGTCAGCGTTTACCAAGTCAATGAAAAATAGTCATTATTTTGCTGTAATAGAGACCGGTCCAGCATAATATACTGGAATTCAGTGCACCTCTGTATGAACTTCCAGCATATTATGCTGGACCGATATACTTTGCTGGCTCCAGTATAATATACTGGAGACTGGAGCACCGGTGCTCCAAACTCCAGTATATTATGCTGGATCGGTATATTATACTGGAACTCCAGTATATTATGTTGGAGCTTTTTTCCGGATTTTAAACAGTATTTTCGTTCAGATTTATCTTTATATGAAAAGTGGCTAAATTTCGATTACTTTTGAAACTGTGACTATTTTTGAATGACCACTTATAAATCTGGCTATTTCTGAATTTCTCCCGGTGTAATTGGTAAGACTGTACGCAATTGTAACTTGTATCCAATGGATTTGTGGTTTCGGGCCAGCCAAAAAACACAACTTTGCTAGCCTTATCACTCGAGCATTGTTGGGCTTTTTATTTGAAATCACATTCCAACAGTATGATTTTTAGCAAATAATGGAAGAATTAACTTAAATAGCCCACTCACCCGCTTAAATTAAAACTAGCCGACTGAGTTATAATATGTTAGAAAAAATGGAGAAGATTAAAACGCTTAAATTAAAACTAGACGACTGAGTTATAATATGTTAGAAAAAATGGAGAAGACTAAAATGAGAAGTATAGCTTTGAGGCGTGAAAGATAACCATCGAGATATTGCCCGTATATTCTTTAGAGGATTACACGCAATTCAAATTTAGAAGTATGTCAAACGGGATTTTTACCTAGCTATACTTTATTAGAAATTTATTTACCAATATTCTCTATGTTTTGTAGTTTTAATAAGTATCTAGGTTTTTCTTACAAATTGTGTAGATTGTTCCTTAAAAGGCTCTCACCTCATTATTAGTGCCTTCAATTAAGGGATCTAATTATATCCTTTCCTCTTTTTCCCCTCTCCTTCTTTTTTTACAACCAAATCCCATAATCTACACTCAGAAGCTCCACCTTTTCTCTTCCTATCATTGCCGATAGCTTCATATTATTAAATCATCAATTGCATCGTTCTTCTGCTGGGAGATCGGACAACACTGAAAATAAAAAAATATTCAGCAATTTTATGATAATTATATCATAATTGTATTTGAATTGTATCAGATACATCAATACGTAAAACATAATTGTATCATACTTGTATTACAATTGTATCTAACTTGTAGATGGTACATTAATATCCAAAATAATACCTGATATAGTACTAATAAATTAATACTACCCTGTTTCAATTTATATGAACCTATTTCCTTTTTGGTCTGTGGCAAAAAGAATGACCCCTTTCTTTATTTGGAAATAATTTACTTTTATGCAATGATTTATAGCCACACAAAATATATGTGCCTCATTTTACACCACAAGTTCAAAAGTCTTCTCTCTTTTCTTAAACTCCGTGCCCAGTCAAATGGGTTCACATAAATTAAAACAGAGGGAGTATATAATTATCATATATTTGTGATACAAACTGTGAAATTCGTCGTGAACTCACAACTGCTCATAACTAAGATACAAATTTTATATAATCCTAAAAGAATTCTTACGCAATTCTGATACAACTTAAAACCGACTCCAAACTTAAATTGATACAATATCGTATTATACTTGTATTAGTTTTGTATCATGTATTGCTTTGGGTACAAATTATGATACAATTTTGATACAATCGTGATACAATTCTAAATTATGATACAACTTTTGATCTTCATTTTTTCAAGTTTCAATTTAAACATCCACCTAGAACCAACTTTAAACTTAAATTATGATAAAATATTATATTTTAATAGTATTAGTATTGTATCAGAATTGTCTTAGGTATTGATGAATCAAATACAACTCAGATACAATTATGATACATTTATCATACAATCGTAATACAATTCCGAAACTTCTTTTTCCTCGAGTTTCAATATGAAATTCAACCTAAAACCAACTTTAAACTTAACCAATCTCCCTTCAAATTGAGATATAAACTCTAAAGGATATTTTCAATAATTTTCAAGAACACCCAATCCAAAGAAATCACAAATTCATAAAATCTGAATATCTAATTCAAAGTTTCGAATCTTTTTAATGGTATGTCAATGACAGACCTCTCTACTTGCAATTTCTAAGATAATGTCGATGGATTTGTCAATAGTTGAAGCTTTTTAATGGTTGTTAGTAGAATTGATTCAGAAAAATATATGATACTATAATTTTAGAGAGATAATAGTTTGATTTGTATGAGAAAGAGAGAGAGATATTGGTGGATTTGTATGAAAGAGAGAATGACTTTAAAAGCTTTTTAAATTGGGAAGAAAATCGTGATTGTAGGAGGCTAAAGCTGATAGATGGGGATGAGAGATACGTTACAAATTAATTCCTATATTTAAGGGATCCTTCTTTTATCATATTTTTTACATAAATAGTAAATATAGATACACAATGTAATTCTTAAGGAACCAAAAGAAAAGTGGTTAATAAGTTTCTAATAGAGTATAGCTAGGTAAAAATCCCATGTCAGATACTCATTCGATATGACTTAGTGGGCTTAGCCTTTTAAGGCCTCAAAAGTGGCTTTCAGCCACCTATGTGGGAACCACCCACATATACAAGCTATATCTAGCATAATATATGTACTACCTCCATTCCAATTTATGTGAACCTGTTTGATTGGGCACGAAGTTTAAGAAAAAATGAAGACTTTTAGAATTTGTGGTCCAAAACAAGTTAAAAAGTGGCCCAGAGTATTTGTGTGGTTATAAAAGCTTCTCAATAAGGGTAGAATTGTAAGTTTAAGTTAAATTGTTACCAAATTTAGAAAACGATCATTCTTCCTGGAACGGACCAAAAAGAAATAGGTTCATATCAACTGAAACAAAGGGAGTATAATATATGTAATGTATGTATAATCAGCATATAATCTATGTATATATAATAGTTAGAAAAAGTAAATAGTGAATCCGGCATACTACTTGTATAAAGATCTCATAACTTAACTAATACCTTATCATATGGAGTTGTAATCAATGTTTTAAAAGGCGGGGGCGTGAGGCAAGGCAAGGCGTAAGTCCTGAGACATGAGGCGTAAGTCCCACGGATCTTTAAATTTTACTAGTTTCAAAAATTTTAAGATAGTATAAAATAAATATAACTATAAAAATTACATTAAAATCACAACATTATAATAAATAATCTATTTAAAATATTTATAAATTATAATTCAAATATGAATAATACGAAAAGTATAACATATAACAAAATAATCAAATTAGCTGCAATATCATTACAACTCAAACATCAAAAGTAATGTGTTTGATGCGAAATCTTATACGTATCTTTTAAGGAGTAATGAATCTTGAAAGAATTTCGATATTATAATTTAATATTTTTTTAAAATACTCCTTTTATTTAGTATGCTTTCTATTTGAAAGAGAATTTATATAAAAACATAATTCACAATTAAAATGCGATCCTCTAGAATCATTTATTTTTAAGTTTTAACAAGTTATTAAGTGACACATAGTGCACCATACTATACCATGATAACTAAGTATTTATAAATAGTTACTAGCTAATACTGACCTATTACATTAATAAGTATTGTATTTTGTAAACGTAAAAATAATATTTAGGAAAATAATTATAAAAAATTTATGTACTATTATATAATAAAGACATAACAAAAGTTAATAAATAAATTCTTTTAGATTAAAGATTTATTTAAAATTTACTATCATAGCAGTTTTAGTAGATAACGTGTAATAATTTTTATTTTAATTATGACATAAAATACTCTCAACTTAATGATTTATGATTGAGAAAACAGTAATTTTGAATAGTCAACAATTTATTAAGAAAATTGAGGATTTACAAGGTTAGTTACACACAATTGCATAAAGTTCTATTAGGCGAGTCTAGTACGCAGGGCGTGTCCGGGGCATAAGCTCCGATGGTTGAGGCGTAAGTCTCACGGAACTAAGCCCCACACATAAGTCCAGGAGCATTTTACGAGTGCTCCACCCAGGACGAGCCCAAGGCGAGTCCCAATTCTGCCTTTTAAAATAGAGGTAGTAATACTCAATATATGGATTACTTGAATATTTTTTATTTTTTTCTTGGGAATCTGATGAGAGCTGACAGAAGATATAAATGAATGAGTTTAAATGGGTCAAAAACCCATGTCAACATATCCAATCATTTGTTAAGTGTTATTCTCAGAGTGACCATCATCCCTTTGAACAACATAAGTTCAATCTCATATCGCCTGGCCTTTATTGTAGCCAAGAAACCAGTTTTCAGTTGAAATCGAAGGGACAGTTTGTTAATATTATCTCACTAATCTTTAATTATTTATCCAAAAAATATTTTCACCTCCCATTCAAACACAGAAAAATATTTTCTAGGAAATATTTCCCCGAAAAAAGCTTTCGTCATATCAAACACCTTTGACCCCTATATCCCAGTTTATTTTCTGCTGATAAATTGATAAAGAGCGATAATGAAACTAATAGTGTTTGGATTGACATTTAAGCTGGTCAAATCATGAACTTTTAAGTTCTTTTTAACCTTTTTAGTACTTGACAAAGTTAAAAAATGTTTAAAATGAATTTAAAACTACTTAAAACAAACCAAAAGCAATAAGTTTGGTAAGGCAAACTCAATTTATTGCTTTTTCGCTTAAAAACTATTTCTGCTGAAAAACCACTTTTTGTAAGTCAATCCAAACGGGCTATGATGTTTGGCTTAATGTATGCATATTTTGATGTATATTTCCTCACATTTTATTTATGTCTCATAGATTTGAGATGTTTAATATGATGATTTGTGCTAAATTGTGGTATTTCTACGTGTAGGAATCATTCAGATGCAATTTGAGACGAAATAGCGCGAATTGGAGCGAAATTGGAAAGAAAACAAAAAGTGAAATTTGAGGGTCACAGCCAGCGTGGCGCTATTTACAAAATGTTGAAAAGTTGAAGGCCAGGGCCAGCGCCCCACGCTGCCTTGGACGCTCAAAACGCAAACATGTCCTAATTCGACTAGGACTCAGTTATTTCGACTCTAAGACGCCCCAACTCATATAAAAGTCAACCTAAACCTATTTTGAGAGGGGAGAACATTTTGGAGAGGAAACACAAGCACAGAGCGCCATGGAGGCCGAAATTCATCAAGTTCCATCTTTCTTCCACCAAACTTAGTAATTTTTATGTTTCTTCGTATGATTTGTCATTTTGCTACCATGTCTATGTGGAGCTAAACTTCACATTCTAGGGTTGTGGTTCTTTCATGACTATTGTTATTCGAATATTGATTTTGATTTCTTGATTTATCATATTGGTTTATTTATTCAATCTTGTGCTTAATTATTTGATTGCTTGATCACCAATTGAATACTATCTAGTATCTACAAATCTAGAGTTGAACTCGAAAGTGGGAATTCTAGATTGCATATAGGATTGAGTTGAGCAAGTTCTTGAGTCTGGACATCAGGGAATGAATTCGCGGTTAGGATAGACATATACCTAATTGTCTTGCTTGGTTGATTTACAGGAATTATAAATGCATTATTGTTGATTCTAACTCTAGAGATATATAGGTGTTAGGTTAGCTTGAATAGACGAGTAAGAACTCGACAGATTCTTATGAGCAATATTAACTCCGTTAACCAATAAACTAGACAAATTAGTTAGTCAATTCAATTGAAGAATACAATAGGAAGCCCATGGCCCTAGATCGTTTTCATCGTATTGATAACATAAAAATCTGTTATCCTTTTGTTCAGAGTTCATTATTTGTTTTCTTTATTTTAGTTAGTTTAGAATCAAATATTTCTAGGTTTAATTCTTGTTTAGATAATTAGAATAGTCTAATTTAGTTAATAGTTAATTACAAGTCTCCGTGAGTTCGACATCCGACTTTTAATCACTTTATTACTTGACGACCGCGTATACTTACGTGTGCGTTTGATCGCAACAGGCTAAAGGTATGAGTTAAGGGATCAACGTAGCTGTTCGAGGTTTTGGAATGATAAGATCGCCNATATATATATAAGATCATCAAAATCTTAATAAATATAATTACTCCCTCCGGTCCACAATAAGTGACTAATTTATTTTTTTATTTTTGTCCAAAATAAGTGTCCATTTATATAATCAAGAAAAAATTCAATTTGTTTTTCCAAAATTACCTTTACATACGTCTCCCTAAAAAATTATTTACTCCTCACATTTGAGAAGAGAAGTAAGTGTTACTAAACTGTGGTGTAACATTTAATGAAGGGTAGTTTAGTCACATTAATTATTTTCGTCTAGAATTTAGTATTTCCTTAATGTGTGTGCCTAAAACAAATTGGTCACTTATTATGGACCGGAGAAAATAGTACATTGTGAACCTATAATTTTTAAAGTGCAATAAATTCAGTAGTAAAATATAAAGATTGAACCCATCAAATTAAAATCTTAGATAAGTCTTTAAATATCGACATACAGTTGCAGTGTAAAAGAAGAAGAAAAAAAAAAGAAAAATATAGAAAAAATAAATTAAAAAAAGAACATTTAAGGATAGAAGGTGAAAGAGGAGGTGATCCTCAACGGTTCATCTCCCGCGGTTGGCACTCCCAGTCTATCAAATCCCATGTAAACCCGCCAACTTCGTATTTCATTGAGCCTGTGTGTACTTACCATACTACCCTTCCCCTTCACCCACAACCCATAACACACACGTGGAATAACAAGGGCATTACAGTAAAACCATCGCATTGTCCGTTATCCGACAGAATATAGCTGGACTTATATCTTTCTTCAACTTCTTTTATGGCGATTTAGATTCTAGATTATAGTAATTCCTAAATATATGAGCTTCTCCTAAACTCGAGATTACGTTCTTGTCTCCTTCATATATAAAGGTTTCTTTTTTCTTTCCTTATGATCAGGTTTCCATGTTGATTCTTGCGCGATTGAGATGCATTTGGATCGTAATAATTTTATCTTTTTAATTATACTATTGTAACTTCCTAGGTGCGCACTGGGGACCTAAGAGGCGGTGGTTTACCCTACGGCGGATGTCAGTGGTTCGACTCTGCTTATCTCCAACTCGTGAACTTAGCCGATTGAAGAAAATCAAAATGTTGGACTCATGGAAGAGAAACAAGTTTTGCTCCAAATGGTAATAGTGACAAGTTTGCAGGGTTTAATTCTTTGTTTGATTTTCAATTTAAAAAAAGATACTTTTTCTTTGTTTATTAATTGTTCTCATGTTCTTATGGGGATGATCTCTGGTACAGTAAGTCTACAATCAAGCAGATGAAAACTCGAATCGAAATGGTGAGGAAGAAGAGAAATGCAATGCAGAAATACTTGAAGAATGATATAGCTGACCTTCTTAAATCTGGATTGGATGTCAATGCCTACGACAGGGTAATTCCCAAATATTCAATAAAACTCCTATAGGTTTGAATTTGGAAATTGTTTAAAAACTTGTCAATAATACTCCTTGTTGCATGATAATATGTACTGTAGATCTCAGTACTAGTTTCATCCGTTTGGGACTGAGGCGTAGTTGTATATTACTTTCTTTCTCCCTGGAAAGCTCTACTGATTTTGTTTACTGCAACAGACTGAAGGCCTTCTAGTTGAACTGAATCTCTTGAGCTGTTATGATTTCTTGGAGCAATATTGTGACCATATTTTTTGTCACCTTGAAACCATGATTCAACAGAGGTAACTTCTGACATTATTTTATTTGGTGTTTCATAAGAATAGAAGACGTAAATTGTTAGTAAAAATATTGCGTGCACTAAAAAAAAGGGTAGCTCGGCGCACAAGGCATCCCGGGTTCAGGGTCTGGGGAAGGGCTGCACCCAAGAGGGTGTGATGTAGACAGCTTATCCATCTTCTGACAATTTGTTGTTTAGTGGATCTGTAGCATCATCATAAACATAAAACATCTCAGTTCTCAGATGATTGGATGTTTAATGTGTGTCAACTATTAGTAAAAGGGAAAAGGGCCAAAATTACCCCTCTGCTACCTACCTGAAAAGAATCAGTCATACCCTTTGTTATACTTTCGATATATTATTGCCCCCGACGTTATAAAACTGGTGTAAAAATACCCTCCGCCGTTAGGCCACCATCCCATATGTCCCTTTATCTTACTGAGGTGGCTCCCATCTCAGTAAAATGGGGTTGGGGCAATGAGGTGGCAGTAGCATGCCATGTGGCGGCCACCTCAGTAAAATAAAGGACCATATGGGATGGTGGCCTAACAGCGAAAGGGTATTTCTGCACCAGTTTTGTAACATCGGGGCCAATAATTGACCGAAAGTATAACGGAGGGCATAACTGATCCTTTTCACGTAGTAGAGAGCTATTTTTGGCCCTTTTCCCTTAGTAAAAATAGTGTTCCTGGTAGTTTTTCAACCTGATTTCCTATGAGTCAAACTGCCTCCTCATGTCTGAGCAATTCTTATTTTTAGGGAATGCTCTGAGGATTGCAGGGAAGCTGTGGCATCTTTGATGTTTGCAGCAGCGAGACTAGCGGACTTGCCTGAATTACGTCAACTCAGAACGATATTTTCTGAGAGATATGGAAATTCCCTTGAATTTTATGTTAGTAAACAGGTAATACTCATTTTTTCACATGCAGATAACATTCATCCATAAACTTTCTCATATGATTTATATTTCCTCCTTTTTCTTGATAGTTTACTGAAAAATTAAAGCCAGTACCACATAAAAAGGACATGAAGCTACAGTTGATGCAAGATATAGCAACAGAATCTGGTACAGAATGGAATTCAAAAGCTTTACAACAGAAGCTATATGAACAAGAACACATGTCTGAATCAGGTCATGATAAAGAATCTGAAGCTGCTACATTCAATCATGAGAATGTGAGGCATCATCATACCAAATCAAGAGTGAACACAACAGAAAGAAGTTCAGATTCTGGTCTTGATTGCGCTCATGTGGACAAAGTAGAATATAATGGCGACGACAATGCAGCTGAAAAGGCTAATCCAAAACCAAAATCGGTTAGAAGGAAACATCTGGAGCCACAATCTGGTGACAAAGATTCAGGACAAGAAAACCATGGCACAAGAATTTCAAATGGTGAAGTCTCGAGGCAGAGAACTCGAGATGGTCCTTCAGGAAGAACAGCATCCCTTCCAGTTGAATTGGAACAAATAAGTCCAGCTGAGCTAATGAAAGGGCACACTCGAGCAAATTCTTGTCAGCCTGATATGTTTGGTCCAAATGGGCTCCATCCTAAGGTACCAAATTACGATGAGGTAGTTGCTCGCCTGGCGGATCTCAGTGGGAAATCAAAAGAATGACCTTTTAGTTAGGACAAGCTGGATTACTGTTCCATTCCACAGCCAATCTTATTAAATTTTGGTTTTATCTTACTCTTTGTATACATGTTAAGAGTTGATACAGTGTATATTACTCTTTAACAGTTATTAAACCATTTCATTGTAAATAGGCTCATTAGATAAAGCCTATATGTTGAGTAGTGACAGAGTATTTGACTCTCTATTCATGAGTCATAATCTTAGTCCATCACAAGTTTCTAGCAGCAACGTCGTATACAGAAGATTTTGTTAACATTTTACTAGTCTTTTTGCAGGGAAAAGTTTCATATAAAATTTTTGTTGCCATTATCAATGTAGTTACTGTAAGATAGTTAAAACATCTATTTTATGGCTGACGTTTTTCTTACTATAGTTCTTTAACTCTTGGGAAATTTCTCAATTCCCTTTTTTCCCACTAATTGTGTATCAACTTCTATCAATATAGTCACCAACCAAACCATTGGCCTGGGAATCATCAAATAGGTAAATGTCCCTTTAGTGAATCAAGAACTTGCTCCCTGTCGGATTCATTCATGGACTTATCAAAATTTGCAGACTATTTGTTGAAAGTGACTCAGTTCATGATGAAATTCCGAATCTTGATATAATCAGGCAACCAAAAAAAAAAACGATCTTCAGATGGTGTCAACAGAACTATGCACATCTTATTGAAAGAGCACAAAATAATATTGGACAGATGTAAAGAATTTTTACAGCTGAGTTTCTTACAAGGACTTGGGAGCAAAAGTAGCAACACCAGTGTCTAGTGACTGGTTTGGTTCCCATGTTGAGCAACCCATTTGTAATCAGAATGATGGTGCCTACACCTGAACGAGCCCCGATGATGTGTTGGGGAACAAACACACTGCTTCATCTTTCCAACTGCAGCTTCATTTTCAGTTGATACTCTGCTTACTTGTATCTGCACATCTTCCCTTGTATCAGGATGAACAAATCGTCCACGGCGTTCTCCCAGCTTGTCATGAACACTAACACAATGAGCACCGCTCGGGTAACACATTGGATACTGAAGAATACTGTGTATCAACCTCTAGCCTACAGTATATTTTATATACGGGAATATTGAGTGGAAGGTAAGGAGGAGAATAAAAGTGGAAAACTGCATCTATTAAAAAAGAAACTTAAATTGTACATAATGATTGACAGTTATAACAGATAGGGACTGGTGACGACTAGGATTGTCTTTTGCTCTTTAGGTATTCTAGTGGCTAATGAGTGATAGTGTCTTGGTTTTGTGCATATTAGGCGTTGGAGAAGTATGGATGAAGAATTGAAGATAAACAAAGGCCGTGGAATCAGTGGCTTTTGAAATTTGAGACTTGTCTGCTAATCTGGACCTCTTAAAGTCTATAAGATTCCAACCACTTGTTCAGTATTCGTTTAGCTGTGTTCAGCAAGTTTCAAAGTGAAATACAGACGAAAAACTTGATGTACAAGTGCTGTTTAATGTAACACTCCTCGAATTTATAAAAGTTTTAAGATACGCTAATTATAGAACTGAATTATTATTATTACTATTATTTTATCTTGCCTATAGTGAAATATATATATGTGTGTATGTGTGTGTATACACTTAAATAATTGGATATACAATTAAGAAAATATTAATAATTTTAATATCAGTAATATTTAAAAGTGGGTATCATTAATTATTAGTTAAGGCAAAACAAAACAAAAAGACAAAAATAATAAAACAAAAAAAAAGGGCTTAAAGCCTTGGAAAGGGTAAGAAACGTGTGTCATTCAAAAAGCAAAGGCTTAAAGCCTTAAAGCAATACAGAACTAATGTTCTGTTTATTCACGCCAGGCATAGAAAACGTTTAAAGCCTTATGAACAGAGGCAGCCAGGAATAGCTCCCGCACGGAAAAATTCTAGGGTTCATTATAACTCACTTATTCTTGAACTCAGGTATATAAAATTTCCTATTGTCAATTATCCTAAAGTAGTAACAGGTATGAATTGAATAGTTAATTCCCTTCTTCCTCTATATCAACAGTAAATTCCATGTTTAGGTGTGAAACTTTAAAATTGATTAAAATGCACTGGTTGTTATAGAATCGATTAAAATTGATTCCATATTTAGGTGTGAAACTTTAAAATTGATCAAAATGCATTGGTTGTTATAGAATCGATTGTTTGACGGGTATAAATTGGACTGGGGTCTACGTATTGGCTCAAGGAGTTTTGAGGTGAGTTGATATAACCCTTTACTAAAGTGGTTTAACTCACAAAAAGCACGCATACAAGGTGTTTGATGAATTGCATAACAGAGTTAATATATACTTAATTGGAGTAGTAAGTGTCTATCAGCTTAGAATTATTTTCTAGCTAAAGTTTAGATGATTATTTGGATTTATGTGCATAAATTTTAGATTTTTATGTTATTCTTATATGCCATCTTCATGTTGAAAATTCATGAAGGAGCAAGAATCTTTATAAATACTTTTGAATGTTTATTCCATTCTTATGCCATGCCTTACATTTAAGGATACCAATGTGAGTATGTATAAAAGATTTAGACTTGCAAAGTCACAAGAAGAAGTTTTAGAAAGAAAAGATTTTTGGGAGTATCCTTTATTCTGAGAAGGGGTCATCGTCCAGGCCTAGGGTCCTGACCAAGGAGTTGACTTCCTGAAGCTACTTGTGCCAAAGTAGGGAGCACACGAGCCGAGGGTCTCGTTGCTGAGAATTTACTTAGCCATGCTAAGGTATGAGACATGAGCGCTGAGAACCATAAAGCGAGTGACACCTCGTGGATTGGGCCTATTCGATCAGGTTGGGATCTAACCCGTGCCGATCACACGGTGACTGAGACAGAATTAAGCCAGGATAGTTGGAACTCCCAAAGTATAAAGTGAAGTATATTTTTCAAGAAAGAAAAAGAAAATAATTTCTTTTAGAATTTTCAAAAACTGCTATTATGCAATTATTTAGAATTATTCTTATAAGCTTTATGTTTTACATGCATTTAGAACCTTTGCTCATAATGTATATGTTATTAAAGTTTCGCCCCCTGTTGTTGAGACTCAATGAGTACAATGGATGGTACTGACGTTCTCTTTTGGGAACCTACGTTGGTCTGCGGTACAACGTAGGAACCGGATTTGCAGGCGAGCAGGCTACGAGTTAGGACTTCCTTCTCTTCCAGTGCTATTGGTGAGCTCCGCTTTTGTTCGTGGAGTATTCCTTAGAGTCATCTTTATTTAGTTATTTCTTTGTTACTTAGAGAACTGGCCAGGAAATCTCATGTCCTGAGCAGTGCGTCAGTTTATCAGTAGAGGCTTCATAGACATAGTCGTTGGGTTAAGATTCAGATGTTTTTGATAATAACTTAGCAGTATTTCATTGGTTACTATTAATAAAGTTTTGGAGTTGATTTATGTAAATGTTTAAATTAATCAAAAGTATTTGGTTAGAGCATTGCCTTGTTGCATATAAAGGTTGGAGTTATAATAGATTTGATAAGCAGAGATGGTTCGCTCGGTCATGTTTAGTAATCGAGTGCCAGTCCCGGCTTGTTCAGAAAATGGGTCATGACAAACTTGGTATCAGACAGGTTTATGGAGTCCTAGGGGTCTATGAAGCCGTGTTAGTAGAGTCTTGTTTATGTGTATGAAGCGCGCCATACTTATAAACATGAGGCTACAAACATTTAGGAAAAGTCTCTTTTTTTTCATACTTTAGATCGTGCAATAGAGTCTACTTCTAAGAAATTATCTAATTTATTCGTTTCTCCAAAACTCGCAGAAATGGCTCGTACTCGCAACTCTGACACCGATACTCAGGATGCTATTCAAGAAACTATCGCTACTATTGTGGCTCAAGGTAGAGCTAAGAAGGCTTCGATTCAGAAAAGGAGGGGAAAATCCACAAAGGGAGTCCAAATACCCCGGGTTGAACGAGAAGAAGGCGTGGAGCATGATGATCTAGTACCTCAGGATCCAGTACCGCCCCCAACAGCAGCCCCGGCTCAGGCAACTATATCTCCCGAGGTGGGTCAGATGTTTAATGTTGTCAACAGTGCTATGGAGATATTTAATGCCTTTATGGCCAACCAGAACGAGAGAAGAGATGAGATTCCACTTCAATCAAATAGACAGAGCAATTCTGAGTCCTCAAGAGTGAATGAATTTTTAAAGTTGAGTCCTCCAGTGTTCCATGGTTCTATAGTTGATGAAGATCTGATATTGTGGCTAGAGGGTATCAAGAAAGCCCTCCGAGTGATGAAAGCATTTGATGATGAAGCTGTGGAGCTAGCTGCTTACCAGCTTAGAGATGTGGCCGGTGCTTGGTTTGAGATGTGGGAAAAGAAAAGAGATGAAGATGATGGTCCGCCTACTTGGGAAGAATTTGAAGAGGCCTTCATGGCTAAATTTATCCCATAAGAGGATAGGGAAGCTAAGGCTACAGAGTTCGAATAGCTCAAGCAAGGGAATAAAAGTGTGCAAGAGTACTACATGGAATTCATAAGGTTAGATAAGCATGCTCCTCACACGGTGAAGACTGAAAAAGCAAAGATCCGCAGGTTTGTTGGCGGTTTAGCTTACCACATTAAGGATACGACATCAGCTGCAGCAGTAGGGATGGAAGCCTTCTCCTCTGTTGTGGGATTTGCCAAGCACTTAGAGAAAGACAGGCAACTAAGGAGAGAAGAAAAAGAGCATAACAAGAAAGCCCGGACAATGGGCAAGTTTAATGGTACATCCAGCGGAGGTGGAAGGGATTCCTTTAATAATGAGTCATTAGCACCAGCTCAGTCTAGTCATCAGTCAAGTGGTGGTCCTTCATTCAGACGTACTCAGAGTTATGAAAATCAGTCTCACCAGAATCAGAATTTTTGGACATCATCCTCACATAGCCAGAGTCATGTTGAGCAACATTCATACCAGCAAAGTCTTTGTGGAACATGTAAGCGGCAACATTCAGGTCAATGCAAGCTCGGGTTTCATGGTTGCTGCCATTGTGGAGACATTCGTCATATAAATGCCAACTGCCCAAAGTTGCGACGTAATTTCAGTGGTGGATCAACTCGTCCTTCTAGTTCCTCAGCTACTGCAGTTTCACCCCCTCAGGCTCGTGGTTCTCATAATCAGACCGGGCATGGAGTAGGCAGAGGTGCAGACCGAGTTACTCAGGGAGGGGGACAACTCCGTTTGTTTGCTACACTTGATCGTCAAAGTGCAGAAGTATCTGCAAAAGTTATTACAGGTATACTTTTAGTCTGCTCACATAATACTTATGCCATAATGGATCCAGGTTCAATGTTTTCATAGGTGACTCCATACTTTGCAATTAACCTTGGACTAGAACCTGAATAACTTAGTGAGCCATTCCTCGTATCTACTCTAGTTGGCGAGTCAGTGAAAGTCACCAGAGTCTATAGAGGTTGTATAGTTTCGGTCCAAGGTCGCAACACCAAAGCCAATCTCATAGAGTTAGAAATGGTGGATTTTGATGTGATCATGGGTATGGACTAGTTTTCTTCCTGCTATGCCATGTTAGATTGTCATGCCAAGATAGTCAGGTTCCAATTTCGAAATGAAGAAGTCTTAGAGTGGAAGGGCAGTTCAGCATTACTTGTAGGTAAGTTTATTTCTTATCTTAAGG